TTCCCTACCCACAATTCTTTCTTTAATACAAGTGACAGTTATCAGTTTGAAATCAGTGCGCGCCTGAAGCTGGTCTCGGTGCCGTTTAGCAGTTTAGTTTTAAATATTGGTCACTTTGAGAAAAGTTTCCCGGAGAGCATCATGTAAGGTTCTGAGATCGGACAAAGTTATTACGATTCGTCTGCATCGTCCTATATCGTATTATATTCTCGTTTCATCTGGCTAAACGGATCAATCACCCTGATCCGGGCTGAGACAGAAAGATACGATATTGTTCGCTTTTCTAAGGTGACCACTAAGTCTTTGGCCTCGGCAAAAAGGCCCCGGTTGCATAAAACCTACACTTAAGTGCTCACTTAAGTGGGTCACTTACGAATCCGTTATGGGTACACTTACGTGTGTTGCATGGAACGCACTTAGCACTCTCGTACGTTTCTGTTTTACGTGGTAACTGTTCACACATACAACGGGGATTTCGGCGCGATACATATCGGATACGTATTCATACTATTTCGGATAGCTTTTCGTATTGGCACGAAAACTGAGCTATTCGTTAAAGTACGAAGATAGGGTCCCTGGTACACGGACAGGCGGCCCCGGGGGGCGGGTGGGGGTACTTTCTTATAAGAGGCTAGTGGGAATGTGCCGCTGAATGGGGTCGTATTTTCACGACTGGATTGACTATAATGAGGTTGCATTTTGAAGTAAGTAAATAGAATAGGGTGACACATTTTCGGATTTTGGGGTAGGAAAGTTCTTTGTATTTAAGGTTAGCAAAAGTACCTCAATATTTCTACTGTACGTAAAAAGTAAAGTCTTCAGTCAATTTAAAAAAATGGGTCAATTCATTTTAGGATGACCTATTTAAAAGATTGATAAGGTAGATGCATAAATAGAAAGTGACTAAGTTGGGATCGCGAAAATTACATTTGCCCAGAAGTGACTAAAATGGGATCTACAGGGGCTCTGAGAGGCCAGCGGCATATACCAAGCAAAAATTAACCAATTACCCTCCCCCTCAGCCTGGGGGTACGCAATAAGAGATACATGTAATGTCAAAAATACATTCTTTAAGTGAGAAATAAAAGTGATTTCCTTGTTCTTTGAAAAAAAGAAAAACAGGCGTGCACGCTTGAGTTAATTCCGCATACTGCGTAGCCACTGTGTTTTTCAGTCACGTACTCAATGTGGCAGGGTATTCTGCGTTTACTCCAGAGCCAAGAAAGAAAGTTGTAAAAAAGCGAAACGAATTCAGTCAGCTGACCAGTGACTGTAAAATGGTCGTAGGCCTACATTTTACCCTCTGCGGAGAATTTTGCGAAATATGCCTTCTTTTTACCCCATAGACTGATGCAATAAAGTGTACATCAAAGTCGACCCAAGGAACCTCGCGAGAGAGTTATGACGTCACAAGTGGTGCAAAGATTTCTGGTTAAAATTAGTAAAGTCAAGACCTCTTACGTCTCACTGTCACTCACTTCCTTAAATTTCTGATAGCGCTTGTTAAACTTTATGCAAGTTCAATAAAAGTGATAAATCAATTGAAAATTCTGCAGTACAGCTTCCGCATTATATTAAATCAATCAGTGGTTCAAGTTACACTGGATCCGAAAAGAGTGACCCTGTTTTGACAATGAATTATCTTGGCAACGTCATAGGGTTTACCGATCTTTTATCGCTTATTGAGGCCATTAAAAAGTGGTTTATATTTCTGTAAGTAAGTAAGGCGGATACAGGGGAATTTGACGTAAGGAAACGCCTATAAAATTTACATATTTTTCTGGGATAAAACCGTCTGAGACAACATTTCATCAGGCGAAGTCGAGAGGCGAGAACTCGCAAATCTAAAGGATGGCATTACTAAGAGTTCATATGGTGCTCTGTTTATCTTACAAGAAAAATGTCATATTGTGTACGTTGATTGTTTTGGGGGCATTTATTTCTGGCGTGAAGTGCATCGGTCAATCCTGTTCCAGCTCAAACGATTGCGGATATTCGGAAAAGTGTTGCAGACAGACTTCAGTCGGGATTTGTCACTCCAAAACAACACCTTGCCTCGGTGATTACTGCTCTTCCAACACTCAGTGTCCGAGTAACTCAGTATGCTGTGATTCCAGATGCGTTCCAGGCAACAATTGCGTCGGTCGCACCTGCGTGCTGCAGTCGGGATGTGGTTTCGATGAATCATGCTGTAATGATGTGTGTGTTCAAGCGAAAGATTGTAGTGGTCAAGGCTGTTCTTATGACCATGACTGCTCTGGTGGTCAAGTTTGCTGTGGTAAGAGGTGTAAAAATGGCACGAAATGCAGTCTGAACATCATCATACCTGTTACCGCAGCATGTGCATTTATTGTCATTGTTGCTATCGTAGTCTTCGGTTATTTTTATCACCGGAGGCGGCAACAACGTTTAATGGCATTCTCCAACGTTCCTTTCGGGCACCTCCCGCTAGCGGCCATCAATACCTTCCAACAGCCCCCACCAGAGTACACAGCAAGTGTAACACCACCGCAGTACACATTAACATCAAGCAATGGATCCGGCGGAATGAATGCCACTCCAAAAGCCTCTGTTACTTCCCCAGATCATCAATGAAGTTTGCATGTCTTGTGACCACCCGATGGAAGACGACGTAGTTTATGACGGTGCATCACGAAGGCGTCTACGCCGTAAAGAGAAGTGGAAATAAACATTTTCACGTCGTGGTGGTGCGGTGACGATAAAGAAATGTACAAAAAAGTGTGCTGCACGTGCAAAGCTGTTGTTAGGTAGTGTGGTTAAGTTAGATAAGGCTTCTGTTTACACATACAACGGGGATTTCGGCGCGATACATATCGGATACGTATTCGTACTATTTCGGATAGCTTTTCGTGTCGGCACGAAAACTGAGCTGTCCGCTAAAGTACGAAGATAGGGTCCCTGGTACACGGACAGGCGGCCCCGGGGGGAGGGGGGGGGGTACTTCCTTATAAGAGGCTAGTGGGAATGTGCCGCTGGATGGGGTCGCATTTTCACGACTGGATTGACTATAATGGGGCTGCATTTTCAAGAGAGTAAATAGAATAGGGTCGCACATTTTCGGATTTTTTGGGGTAAGAGAGTTCTTTACATTAACGGTTAGCAAAAGTAACTCAATCTTTCTACTGTACGTAAAAAGTAAAGTCTTCAGTCAATTTAAAAAAATTGGCAGGAGGCCTGAGCCCTATCGGCTCCTGACAATGGGTCAATTCATTTTAGGATGATGATAAGGTAGATGCATAAATAGAACGTGACTAAGTTGAGCCATGTCCAGCCCTGGCCATGAAATCCAGAGTTTCTTCACTTCTTACTTAGTTCCACACTTCTCAGAGGTGTGGAAGTGTGGAGTAGTCTGACAAAGTAATGACAATGGGTTAGTGCCTGTGGGAAAAGTGTGACATGCACTTCCAGACCTCTGAGAAGTGTGGAACTAAGTCAAGAATGACAAGGGGTTAGTGCCTGTGGGATAAGTGTGACATTATCCTGAGTTTGTCAGACTTTTGCACACTTCCACACCTCTGAGAAGTGTGGAACTAAGGATGAAAAAGGAAAGTAGGGATCTTGTGGCCAGCACTGGACATTTGTGAATTCCCGAAGTGAACGCGCGTGTTACGCAAGTGAGTTCTCCGTTCTTTGAAAAAAGGCCTTAAGTAAAACAAGCATGCCACGTTTGAATTAATTTCCCATACCGCGCAGCCATTTTTTTTTTCAGTCACGTAGTCAATGTGGCAGGGTATTCTGCGTTTACTGCAGAACGAAACGAATTCAGTCAGCTGACTAGAGACTATAAAATGGTCGTAGGCCTATATTTTACCCTTTGGTGCAAAAAATGCATTTTTTGGACCTTAGAGACTGATGCAATAAAATGTACATCAAAGTCGACCAAAAGAGGCTTGCGAGAGAGTTATGACGTCAAGAGTGGTACAAAGATTTGTGGTTAGCATTAGCTTAGCTTTTGTCTCACTGTATGTTTCTTAAATTTCTTAAAGTGCTTGTTCAATTAAATATTAACCCTTAATAATGCAAGTTCAATAAAGGTAATCAATCAATTCAAAATCCTGCAGGAAAGCTTCCATATTATATTTAATCTTGTACTCAGATCTCCCATGGCCAAGGGAAAAAAGTGTAAAACAGAGTGAGATCTGGGTACGAGATTATATTATATTAAATCAATCAGTGGTTCAAATTACTCTGGATCCAAAACGAGTGACCCTATTTTAACAATGAAAGTTATTTTAGAAACTGCAGGGTAGGGTACCGGCATACCGATCATTTATCACCTACTGAGGCTATTTGGAAAACTATCCTGTATCAGAGTTGCATTTTTCTTGCTAAGTAGCAAGAAAATAAAAATACTGGCTTCTGATTGGACAACAGCAGCAACAGCTCACATGTTTTTCTAGACTTTCATCTGGCTTTCACGTTACCTTTTAACACAATCCTGGAGTACTTTCTACAAAAAAGAGAGTCAGAATGCTGCTACAACTACCCATATTTGAGCTTAACTTGTAACAGACTTCTTTAATTCTTTTTTGCAATTGTTAATTTTCATTTTTCTATTACGTACCCTTTGAGTTTCCTAGAAAAAGCTGTCTGCATGTCAACTATTTCTGGAAACAATTATTTGCAGGACAAAATAGAAACAGAACTATTCAGAAACAAGGTGTTCACAAGAAACAAAATGGGGCAAGGAAAAGGAAATTAGAGGGGAGGTTAAGACAGTATCAAACCCAAAACTATCTCCAATTTTGCTTTTATCTGCAAATACCCAAGCTTCGAAGGCTGATATTTCATTGCACCTGGGACAAATAGGCCTTGAAAAGCCCGACTTATAAATGGTATTATTTTGACTCATTATAGCCAGACAACGACCAGAAAACAGCTTGACTACCCTCAAAAGGTGATTTTTGACAAAATTCCCTGGAGCAAATGGGTTTATGAACAACCTGTTTTACACTGCATACAACATAGTCAAAATATGTACCTGTAAGCAGATGAGAAAATTGATGCAAATTGTTGAGTTTCAGTCCTTCAAACAGTTCTTTAAGTTCCTTTGAATCCAACACTTGACCTTTTATATGCTCATAGCCTACCAAACAGAAACATGCACCTAAGTAAGTGTTTATCAGACTGTGTAATGGTGTGAAAAAAATTTGGAGGAAACTAAGACATCTTTTGAGGAGATGGGACACAAATGAAGCACACATCTAAGGTTTATCATAGGGCAAATTATAGGATTATGGGAAAATGTGGATATTTCGTATGTTCACTAGATTAACATCAAAACTTGAGGAAGATTTCGGAGGCTCAACACAGTATTTTGAAACTTAAATAGCCTTACCGCAGCAGGATAAGCCCAGTAGGTTGAGCGTTTGCTGCAAGGGGGGAGGGGGGTTGTAGGTTTGATTCCCAGGACTGGACTAATAATTATCAGGGTCTTAAAAATAACTGAGAAATGAAGGTACTCTCCTTGCACTGCAAGCAGCTAGACCTTTGCATGGCTAGGATGACCACATAAAATGGCAGTCCTGTCTCCAGTTGTAGCCGTAAAGATAGTGTCTCCAATTAGTACTAATTAAAATCACATTGATGCTCAAATAAAGTGCATTTTTTCAAATTAGCAGTTAAATTCGTTATCTAGTGCAGATTATGCAGCAGTTTATTACAGGATTTCTTATGGATTATGCAATCAGATATGATTTACATTAATAACAGAATATTGTACCAAATTGCACCATCTCACATTATCAGGTGCCCTGGTTTAAAGAGGGTTGTCCAATACTCACAAATAGACTCCATTGGTGTTAGTGGTGATAAGAAGGGTCTCCATTGGTACCAATGGTACGATTGGTACCAATAGAAAAGCAGCCTATTCCAATAGTTCTACTGGTGAATATGCATCTCATTAAGGGGACTTAGATTATTTTCTCATGTGGTCTGGCTGGGTACAGGGCAATTCCAATGGTCCATTGGTACCAATGGTACGATTGGTACGAATGGAAAAGCACCCTATTCCAATGGTTCTATTGGTGAATATGCATCTCTTTAAGGAGACTTAGATTATTTTCTCATGTGGTCTAGCTGGATACAGGGCAATTCCAATGGTCCATTGGTACCAATGGTACAATTGGTACCAATAGAAAAGCACCCTATTCCAATGGTTCTATTGGTGAATACGCATCTCATTAAGAGAGTTAGATTATTTTCTCATGTGGTCTAGCTGGGTACAGGGCAATTCCAATGGTCCATTGGTACCAATGGTACGATTGGTACCAATAGAAAAGCACCATATTCCAATAGTTCTATTGGTGAATATGCATCTCATTAAGGGGACTTAGATTATTTTCTCATGTGGTCTGGCTGGGTACAGGGCAATTCCAATGGTCCATTGGTACCAATGGAAAAGCACCATATTCCAATAGTTCTATTGGTGAATATGCATCTCATTAAGGCGACTTAGATTATTTTCTCATGTGGTCTGGCTGGGTACAGGGCAATTCCAATGGTCCATTGGTACCAATGGTACGATTGGTACCAATAGAAAAGCACCATATTCCAATAGTTCTATTGGTGGTGAATATGCATCTCATTAAGGGGACTTAGATTATTTTCTCATGTGGTCTGGCTGGGTACAGGGCAATTCCAATGGTCCATTGGTACCAATAGAAAAGCACCCTATTCCAATAGTTCTATTGGTGAATATGCATCTCATTAAGGGGACTTAGATTATTTTCTCATGTGGTCTGGCTGGGTACAGGGCAATTCCAATGGTCCATTGGTACCAATGGTACGATTGGTACCAATGCAAAAGCACCCTATTCCAATGGTTCTATTGGTGAATATGCATCTCAGTAAGGGGACTTAGATTATTTGCTCATGTGGTCTGGCTGGGTAAAGGGCAATTCCAATGGTCCATTGGTACCAATACAAAAGCACCCTATTCCAATGGTTCTATTGGTGAATATGCATCTCATTAAGAGAGTTAGATTATTTTCTCATGTGGTCTAGCTGGGTACAGGGCAATTCCAATGGTCCATTGGTACCAATGGAAAAGCACCATATTCCAATAGTTCTATTGGTGAATATGCATCTCATTAAGGCGACTTAGATTATTTTCTCATGTGGTCTGGCTGGGTACAGGGCAATTCCAATGGTCCATTGGTACCAATGGAAAAGCACCCTATTTCAGTGGTTCTGTTGGTGAATATGCATCTCATTAAGGAGACTTAGTTTATTTTCTCATGTGGTCTAGCTGGGTACAGGGCAATTCCAGTGGTCCATTGGTACCAATGGTACGATTGGTACCAATGGAAAAGCACCCTATTCCAATGGTTCTATTGGTGAATATGCTTCTCATTAAGGGGACTTAGATTATTTTCTCATATGGTCTAGCTGGGTACAGGGCAATTCCAATGGTCCATTGGTACCAATGGTACGATTGGTACCAATAGAAAAGCACCCTATTCCAATGGTTCTATTGATGAATATGCATCTTATTAAGAGAGTTAGATTATTTTGTCGTGTTGTCTGGCTGGGTAAAGGGCAATTCCAATGGTCCATTGGTACGAATGGAACGATTGGTACCAATAGAAAATGATGTCATTCCAGTGGTTCTATTGGTGAATATGCATCCATTAAAAAATAAAAATCTCTGTCGATTCATATGTTTATGAGTGATAAGGAGACATTCAAACTTCTGCTGTTTTCCCACGGCAATGAGTGCAATCCTGAAATCATCAGTAGATGGATTCTTCTAGCTCAGTCCTGGGCCTCTTCGGAAGCTACAGCCGAGAAAAGAGCACGGTAAATACAATTTGTCAACGACAACGTTGACATTAAATACATCAATGGTTTTACTACGACCTTGATTATAGCAAACTGGTGTACTTCAATGGGTTACCACGACAAACCCCACGTCAACAGTCAAAAGTGACTTCAGTCACTTGAATATAAAACGGCTCTCTTAGGAGCAACAGCATGATATAACCACCCTTTTCGGAAACTCTTCATTGAAAACTTGTTTTGGTTTAAACGCTTCCATGTAGATAATGAAATTGCGCTAAGAAATTTCAGAAGTTAATTTCACAGTGAGTTGAGAACAGGATTTAAAACCTGTTGCCTCAATACCACTTTGCTAGTTTCGCGCCTTTCCGCGTTGTTTCGGGTTCTTTTAACAAGTAAGAATTACCAAAAAATAGTGCTTGCGTACAGGAAAGAAGACATTCATATGTCATGTTGTTTGCTCATGAATCACAATAAACAGAACGAACACGACAGTGACGCATTACCTTTCAATTTTAATGTTCGTACGATGTTTGTTATACTCGCAGCACCTTGAGATATTATTAGCGCTAGATATATAGGTCGCCCTCGCTTTGTAACTATTAGCACGTTTCTACTTTGTGTGAAAGCGAACTTGTTTTGCGTGGTTAGCCTATACAACGAGGAATATTCATAAGAATTATGGCGCATTTTTAATTGGTGTAACAGCGAACGTGTTTTGCGTGGTTGGCTTATAGAACGAGGAATATTCATAATAATTATTAGCGCGTTTTTACTTAGTGTAAAAGGCAACTTGTTTTGTGTGGTTGGCTTATAGAACGAGGAATATTCATAATAATTATTAGTGCGTTTTTACTTGGTGTAAAAGCGGACTTGTTTTGCATGGTTGGCTTATAGAACGAGGAATATTCATAAGAATTATAGCGCGCTTTTACTTGGTGTAAAAGCGAACTTGTTTTGCGTTGTTGGCTTATACCACGAGGAATATTCATAATAATTATTAGCGCGTTTTTACTCGGTGTAAAAGCGAACTTGTTTTGCGTGATTGGGATATAGAACGAGGAATATTCATAAGAATTATAGTGCGCTTTTACTTGATGTAAAAGCGAATTTGTTTTGCGTGGTTTTCTTATAGAACGAGTAACGTTCATAATAATTATTAGCACGTTTTCACTTGGTGTAAAAGTGAACTTGTTTTGCACCAATAGAACCATTGGAATGGCATCATTTTCCATTGGTACCAATCGCACCATTGGTACCAATGGACCATTGGAATTGCCCTGTACCCAACCAGGTCACATGGGAAAATAATCTAAGTCCCCTTAATGAGATGCATATTCACCAATAGAACCATTGGAATAGGGTGCTTTTCCATTGGTACCAATGGTACGATTGGTACCAATGGACCATTGGAATTGCCCTGTACCCAACCAGGTCACATGGGAAAATAATCTAAGTCCCCTTAATGAGATGCATATTCACCAATAGAACCATTGGAATAGGGTGCTTTTCCATTGGTACCAATCGTACCATTGGTACCAATGGACCATTGGAATTGCCCTGTACCCAACCAGGTCACATGGGAAAATAATCTAAGTCCCCTTAATGAGATGCATATTCACCAATAGAACCATTGGAATAGGGTGCTTTTCCATTGGTACCAATGGTACCATTGGTACCAATGGACCATTGGAATTGCCCTGTACCCAACCAGGTCACATGGGAAAATAATCTAAGTCCCCTTAATGAGATGCATATTCACCAATAGAACCATTGGAATAGGGTGCTTTTCCATTGGTACCAATCGTACCATTGGTACCAATGGACCATTGGAATTGCCCTGTACCCAACCAGGTCACGTGGGAAAATAATCTAAGTCCCCTTAATTAGATGCATATGCACCAACAGAACCATTGGAATAGGGTGCTTTTCTATTGGTACCAATCGTACCATTGGTACCAATGGACCATCAGTTTGACGAATCGTATCCGTTTGTGTTTATTGGACATGTGTGGGTTTAAAAAAACAATGACATTGTTAAAGTGCCCATCACCTAAAATTTTTTATTTTCTTTCTTGGTCAACCTATAGGGACTGGGTATGGGGGGGTGGGGGAGCAGAGACGGGGTGGGTCATGAGGTTTTGAGCCTTGTGCGAGGGGTGGGTCGTGCAATTTTCAGCTACCCTCAGGGGGCGGGTCACCCTATTTTTTACTAACTACTAACGAAACAGTTGACTACACTTGTTATATAAAACACAGCCAGCTCGAATTATTGTTAAAATACTCACAAACCTGTTGTGCGAGAAAATACAAAGGTTGACAGGCCGCACAGCTACACGGACGTGGAACCCTCTGTCAACCTTTTTTTTTCGGCTCTAACGAGCATGTCCTTTAACGATTTTCCTTTTTTGTAAGAAAATGATGGGTGGTTCTTTTAAAATTTATTGAAGTTATAGCTGGTTTTATATAAGATTCCATTTTTTCATTCAAGCTTCCTTTATAGTAGACACTGAGGGCTGGTATTGTGTCTCTAATGGCAATATTTCTTTTTCCTAGTTGAAAGTCTAGTGATACGAAAATTATAGGGATCAAAACAATACCTTTTCGAAAATTTCAGCCAGAAAAAAGGCTCCCAAAAATTCTAGGTGACCTTAGGGTAAAAATCCGTTAAAAATGGGCAATTATACTATTTTTTTAGATGTTCGAAAATCCTAGGAGGGGCAGACAAGCAAGAAATTTTACAACAAATGTTCCGAAAATTCTAGACCTCAAATCGTCTTTCGAACAGATATTTTCCGAAAATTGACGTTGGGTGCCCCTGAAAGATTGTGCGTAGCCTCCGTCCGTCAAACGTTTTTTTTTTTTAATTTGAATTATTTTCCTCAAAGGTTGTTTCTGAGGAGTTTTTTCGTAGGATTCTTAAGGCCTCTCCTTTGACAAATTCTTTTTTAACATTTGGAGGGTGACACGAGGTGAAATGTGTGTGCAAGAAGCTTTCCGTTTGTTTAAAAGGTGTCTTTGCATCATAATAGATTTTTCCTTGAATCTTGTGCCTTTGTATACAAACTTGTCTAAAATCGCAGTCTCAGTGTCAAATGTTTCGGCCGTGAATTCAATAGTTAGGTGATGTAAGGTTGCTTGTTCAATGAAGGCTTCGATGTCTGGTTTACTCATGTCCCATAGTAAAAGATATCGTCTACATGGCATTTCCAAACCGTTGTTCTTAAAGACAGTTTTGCTTAGAGTTGTTGTTTCAATATATGTCATGAAAATATTGGCAAAGGAATCAAAACTGCTGTCTTTGTGCCCATTGCAGTTCCATGGTTTTTTAGGTATTGCTTTCCACTGAAGTGGAAGAAATTTTCGTTGAGGATTAATCTAAGCATTTCCGGCAAGTAATGTGTAGGAATGGGTTGTCTTTGTTGAAATTTTCATATGCTTTGTGACAGATAATTTACCCTCGTTTTGCTGTATATTTGTGTCAAGACTCAGAACATCCATTGAAACAAGAAATGTTCGGTTTTTCACATTCGTCTTTTTAGTGAAAGGTATGATTTCTGTGATGTTGATATTGCTTGTAGCAGTGTATCAACAAATTTTGTCAAGCACAGAACAAGGTTTTAGTGGACTACTAAGAGGAAACCGAACATCCATGTTTTAACTAGGGGGTGGGTCATGCAATTTCCAACCTTGCTTTAGGGGTGGGTCAGTCATTTTTGTGCCGAAGGGAGGGGGTGGGTCATGTGTTTTTTATCAACCACATTTCCAAATGCTCCGGCCCACCCCCCCCCTATACTTTTTGACCAGTCCCATATTAAAATAACTTCTGCGAAAAAAATTTTGTGGTTTAAACAAAGCGTGATTTTTTTACCAATTTTTTAAATCTACATTTTTGCGGTACACCCCCGACGCTGGTCACACAAACTAACAGGTTCACATATGACGTCATGTGACGTAAATTAAGGAACTCGCATTACCTTGCCTTCACCAGCTGTACACAAAAAAGATCAATTACAAGTAAGGATTGACTCACGACGTCTTCGCAAGAAGAAAGTTTTTCTGAAACAGAAAAACCTACTAGAACTAATAATGTTTTCCTGTTGATAAAGTCACGTGTTCCTTAAAGTACGTCATATAACGTCATACTCTGAGAGAAGACTAAGACAAATGGTGTGCCAAAATGGCGGCAAATTTGAAAGTTTTTAAAAAATTCTAAAAAAATCGTCTTTGGTTCAAATTGCAAAATTTTTTAGCAGAAGTTATTTTAATAAGGTGTATTTTCAGATAAGAAAATATAAAATTTTAGGTTATGGGCACTTTAAGTAGGAGGGATCATAAAAATATTGAAATATGTATCAAAACGAACAACACAAGAAAAACTACTTTACTTTCTATTGTTCAACAACAAAAGCAATTATATTAATAATAGACATGAAACAAACCAGTGTGATTGGAAAGTTGTACTGAATTGATTGTGTCAACCTCAAATCCAAGAACCTAAAATAAAAAAGGATGGAGTAACATCATGTTAGGATTACCTCAAGTACCTATAGTCCTTTTAGGGTAGATTTCCACTGTCAAGTAATTTTAATGTCTGTACACGTGTAAAATTGATGTGCATAAATAAATTAGAGGCAATGAAGAAAAGTCAAAAGTTGAACCTCGCTCAACTTTTACTCATACTTTTTCATGATACTTCATACATTTCCTTTACACTATTTACACATATAAAATTTGAGCGTAAAAATTATGCGGCAGTGGAAATCCACTCTTAGTCTGATTTTCACCAGTAACAAGACCAGAATTGGAGTCTGCATGCATTCGAAAGAGTGACAATAAGAAACTATTGGATTTGTAAAGTGGAGTCATGTGTGCGGTTATAAAAATCAGAACATTTTAGGTTTCTTCCTGCTCTGCGCATCATCTCGTCACTTACATCGCTCACTCTCACACGCAGTTATTGCCTTTCAGAAATTAAAGTCACATGGCCAAATGGATGGTCAGGATGGTCAAGCCAGCTATTCAAAATTTCAAATGCTCAAGACTGTTTTTTTTTTTCTTTGTTTTTAAGGGTCCTAACAGTTAGTTACACTGGATTTCAGTAGTACTTAGTATTAACCTTGAAAGGCATTTTTCATCTCCAACTTCCCCTGCCCCCCTCCCACTTGTTGGTGTCTCACAGGGACTGTGATACCTAATGCAAGATCTTTGATCAGCTGTATTCCTCTATCAATCCAGTACAGTAACTGCATCCGTAATCTAAAAACCAGAAATGTGGCCCTATTCCAGATGGCCTCTCACGCTAAACTTGTTGGGGCTTCATCATCTGTTTCTGCCCCATGAACATGTGCTGAAACAAGCAGTTAAATTCCTTTTCGCTTTGTTTGCAATTATCAGCTGGAGATCACTAGCAAATTACCAGAGAACAAATCAGCACTAAGTCATGGTTTAATAAAAAGGCCAATAATCATAAACAACAGTATCCCACCTGAGATCTTCAAAGCTCCAGGCCCCAATGCACTGGAGGCTTCCATGATGTTCTGCAAAGTGTATGGAGCAAAGAGGCCATGTGAAGACTTTTGCAATGCTCTCATTACTACTCGATCTCTACAACAACAAGGGGAGCAAGTCCAACTTACTGTGGAAACTACAGAGGCATCTCACTTCTTTCCATAGCAGGAACGATCTTTACTCGCATTCTCCCGAACCGACTGATCATGGAAACTGAAAGAGGTCTCCCAGAGGCGGAGTGTGGCTTCAGACCAGGGTGCAGCACCCTGGACATGATTTTGTCATCAGACAGGTGCAGGAGAAGTGCATTGAACAGAGCAAGGCCCTCTTCTCTGTCTTTATAAATCTGACAAAGGTAATTAATACAGTCAACAGGGAGGCCCTCTGGATGGTCCTGGAGAGATATGGTTGCCCAAAGAAGTTTGTGAGGTTGATCCAGCTTCCTCATGATGGAATGACAGGACAATTAAGTTCTCTGCATCAGTGACCAGTCAGCTGTCTTCACCATCACAAATGGAATAAAACAGGGCTGCATACTAGCCACAGTCCTGTTTAATCTCTTCTTCACACGCATGCTGGCACATGCTGTACAGGACATGTATGAATATGAGACTTGGACACTGTACCACAGGCAAATTAACTAGCTGGAGAACTTTCGTATGAGTGCCCTCCGTTCCATAGTTGGCATCCACTGGCAGGACCATATCACAAACCTCGAGGTCCTGGACCGTGCAAAGTGTACCAGGATTGAGGCCATACTCATCAAGGTCCAGCTGCGAGGGGTGGGAAATGTCATCAGGATGGACGATCATTGCATGCCCTGTCAACTGTTGTATGGAGAGCTTGAGGCTGGCAAGAAAAAGCAAGGCCGCCCTCGCAAGCAGTACAAGGACACTGTGAAGGAAAACCTTCAGTGGTGTGGGCAACCAGCCGAAAGAACTTGAGGCTGCAGCCAGTGACAGAAGTCACGGGCACTTACTGACCCACACAGCCCCCAACAATTTCAAGGATGACCACCGTCAAAAACTTATTGCAGCCTATGAACGACACCACAGAGCATCCTCTGCTGACATCACAATAATGGAGTTCCAGTGCCCCACCTGTTCCAGACTCTGCCCTCCTAGACTGAGTTTGCAGAGCCACCAGAGAATCCATAGATGATCATACAACATGCAGTCTTCTTTGGACATGAAGGACAACCACCTGAATCATTATCAGTAGGAAATAAAGCGTTGACAGGCCAAACGAGACTCACAAGTGAAGCGTATCTGTGACCTTAGAGTTTTGCTCTAAACAAGGAGATCTTCCAGACACTTTCCATTCTTATCCCGTTTTTGTCCCAGTTACATCAAGATTGTGCCAAATTTGCTTGAAAATCTGGAAATCTTACTAATGTAGAATCGGGATAGGAAAAATCCCAATTTTTGGCACTCAAGTTATTTCTCCATGGTTTAACAATCTACGGATTTTTCACACTCAAAAGGTTGGACAGTCTAAAATACACTTCTGAGATCTGAAAGTGTGCTGTGATTGGTCTAATTTTTTTAACTGCTTGTTTCACGAGACGTTTCTGGGGCATTATGCATGACGAAGCCGTTACTAAAACATCTGCGTGAGAGGCTATATCTAAGAACACCTATGTGAGACATCACTGTTTACAATTAATGTTGTTTTTGTTACTCAGGTTTAAAACGAGAGGTGAGGTCAGCATGTACAGTATGAGTATCGCTAGCGATAATCACACTGAAGTCACCTGTTGATATTAATGTGCCAACCAAAAGCACATTGAATCTGGAAAAAAAAGACAATTCCTTTGTTTCACGTGTTACAAATTTGAATAACAAAAACAGTAAATACAAATTTCCAGCACTAAATTCCTTCGTTTCACGTGTTACAAATTTGAATAACAAAAACAGTTAATAGAAATTTCCAGCACTACATTCTTCAGCCACTGATTAATCACCATGTAAAACACTGACCAGCGGATTCTCATTCCCTGCCCTGCTGTCCCAAACAAAACAGCTCTCATTCTAAATACTTCAGGAAACACACATCCCCACAGAATATGACAACTGCACTGATCATTGCTGTTGTCATAAGTAATAATATCCGTTGAATGTTCATCAAATCGAACGAACGTATGTCGATCATCACAATAACATGCGATCGGGTATAAGTCAGAGCTAGACAATAGGAAAGAATAAAGTCTTGAATAAGACCAAGGAATCCTTGACTTCTAGTATGAAAACACTTTTCAAAAGGTAACTCTGTCATGCAGCTGAACATGGTCTAATTAGTGTACAATGGTACCACTGCAGCGGGAAAAACCGGTGTTGGTGTCACGTTCAACTGGTACGGGAAGTGTAAAAAATGGCTTACCTGAAGAGGAAATGTCGCTGAATCATTCCCTACATAACCTGATACAACATGGCTTTGAATAGAAAGGACTCTGCACGTCTCAGTAGATTCCATTTGTTGCATAAACCGTACTTTTGCTAACGTTACTGACTGGTATACTATAGCTCACACTTGGTAACTTGGTAGCCTCGCAAACGCGGTCAGTTTCAAACACGGACTGCGGACTACGGACCAGGGACTGCGGACTTGGTATAAAGCGCGGACTACGGACTGTGAAAATAAAAACAGCTTCGACTGAGAGAAAAGGATAGTGGACTAGCATAAAACAGTAGTCCCAGCTTCTTGCCTCATAACATAACATGACATAACAACTTTATTTAAATGTCGATGTCTTTAGCTTATAAAAGCTAATTGGGGACACTAAAATAATGGGAAAAATATAAAATGAGTTTGTTTATATATGGTATCAATAGGTAAATTTAAAATTCTCTAAAATCTAAAATTTATAAAAAGTGAAAAGACTCTTAAAATTTAAAAGTTAAAAGATTACGGAGTTACCCCCACTAACATACACAGAAAAATGCTTAAAATATTTATAAAAGTTCTCAAGAACTGCAAATAAGACAGGAGTCACAGTTGTCAACAATAATAATTCCTTTGGCAGGTCACGCAATCTATTCTCCAAACGTCGGCGTGGAAAAGGAAAGCATAACTTTCTTTCCCTCCTTTTTTCCCACCCCCTCCCCGCTGTTTTACTTGCGCCATCTTTCGCGTGGTCTTTGACTGTCGTTCCTCGTCTTTTGCTCCTAAACCGCACGGAAACGCTTGATGGGCAAGGTAGGTTATGCCGCTGCTCAAGGCAACTGAAAATGAAACTCTGAATTTTATTAAAAGGAGGAGTTAGAAGAGAATTCAAGTTATAGTTTTAAACCAATAGGAGATATGAAATTGAGAGGCACCGAAAAAAAAGAAAATAGTATGTGTTAGTAAGAGGGACATTCTTATATATGCCACATTTCCATTTCAAAACCCTGGGCATATGGTGAAGAACCCAGACGAGAAGCCCAACATAGGGGCAGTCGAAGCAAAAAGGCAGTATTTGGAGAGGAGGGGCAGTTAATGACCTATTCATGAATAAGAACCGAAATTAAATAATGACATGACTTCCACCTATGTTAACATGTACATCGCGTTTGTGACCCCTGTCATGGATGTTAGAGACCGATACCAGGTTTAAAAATGGGTGTAGAAAATAGCATTTTGGACAGGCTCAGATTTGGAGAACGGCCATTTAGTACAGTACTTGTGTACCTGAATTGCGTGTGCTTGCAAATCGACTGCAAAAATGATTGTTGCATGCATGTGCATTCACGTGATAACCGTGACATCAGACGGACCTTAATGCATCAGTCAATTCCACCTGCGCCCAGCCCCCCCCCACGGGCAACTGCAGGGCATTTGCCCACCTTGTCAGTCCCAGGGGTGGGGCATGTTGCACTGCCCAGGGGCCGAGCATTTGCCAACCCCCGGGCCAATCCCGAGCTTTTGAACGCACGCGGTTTGCGATCAGAATATAACTACAAAGAAGGTTTTACTGGAAGAAAAGCAGATTGGCTCATTTGTCAGGGACAGGAACAAATTGTAGAGGGTTGTAACGGCATGTTCTCGATTTTACATGTATGTATGCATTTTTTCATTGCTTATCAAGCCAGAGTTACGTAGCGAAATTGGAGCTGTCGATGTGAATCAACGTTTTTTAGTTATTGAATCAAATTTCTGTTGATATTATTTGAAGAACATCCTTTCATATTTATAAAACTATTCATAACAT